CACTGTGCCACCTCGGTGCCCTCAGGAGAGAGATTAGGGCTGAATAAATAGATCTAAGAATTGTCTTCATAAAGATGATAAATGAGCCCATGATTAGATTACAAGAACCTGTTAGAATACCAAGTGCAATGACAGAGAACAGTAAGAGAAAAGGGCTCAGGAAAGAACCTTCAGGGCATCCATGATTAGTGGGCATGACCTGAACAGTGGTCGAGCAAAAGAGACTGAGAAAGACCTGTCTGACAAGAAGCAGGAAAAAGTGGTGTCATAAATATTGAGAGAAGAATATATCAAGAAAAGGGGGGTAATTGACAGTGTCAAAAGCTGCAGCGAGGTCAAGAAGCATGAGGTTTAAGAAGAGGTCATTAGATCAAGCCATTAAGAGATGTTGGTAACTTTGGAGAAGGTGTTTCAGTTGAATGATGATGCTGGAAGCCAAATTGCAGAGGGTTTTGAATGAGAGAAGAGGAAGTGGAGGCATTGATTGTATGTTGCTTTCTCAAGGTGTTTAGTCCCAAAAAGGAGACCTATAAGGCAGTTACCGGTGGGGATGGTCATATCACATGAGGGTTCTTAAGGATGGAGTGTTTGTAGGTAGCAGAGAAGCAGTCAGTAGATAGATAGTGAAGGTTAGAGAAAGTAGGGGCAATAGAGGTGACAGTCACTGGAGAAAATAAGATGGAGTGGTGTCAAGGGTGTAAGTAAATGGTTTTACCTCAACAAGAAGAACCATTCATTCATATGAGAGAGGGATGAAGGAGGAGATAGTAGAGGATATACATCTGAGATAGGTAATAAAAGGAAAATTGTGAGCGCTTGGCTAATGACCTTAGATAAGAGGGTGGGGGAAGCTGTCTTATCAGACGCTTGAGGAGGAACGAAAAGGTTTGGAATAGTTGCTGTGGTGAGTAGGATAGTGAATCAATCACAGAGGTGCAAAAATATTGCCTTGCTGCAGTGAGGGCCCAGTTCTAAATTTGTAGTAGACCCAGTTGGTATAATTTCATGAATTTCTTTTCCCCCTGCTCTATTTGGTAGCACAAGAATAGAAGCAAAGGCATTTGATAGCAGGAGTAATCCAAGGTTGAGGCTTGGCAAGCCCTGCTTGACAATAGGCCATGGGGACAAGGGACTCATGTGTAAAGGAGAGTAGAGAGTTGAATTGCTTCCCTAAGAGGCTGAGGCAGGGAAAGAAGGTAGTGCAGTGGTGATGGGCCTTGCAAAGCACTGAGGGACAGAGGTTTTCCAGGTCACAGTAAAGAACAGAATTAGGAGGGATAAGACACAAGGAAAGATTGTAGGATAAAAGATTATGGTCAGAAAAAGGAATTTGGTTCATGAACAAAAAAGTGGAACATTTGTGGGTAGGGGCAAGATCAAGGGAATGACCATTCCTCTGTGCAGTCTGTCAATCAATAAATATTTATTAAGCCCCACTATGTGCCAGGCACTGTGATAAACACTGGGAATACAAATATGAAAAAGAAAAGCAGTTCCTGCCCTCAAGAAGCTTGTCTAATGGAGGAAGACAACACATCAAAGGAAAGGGAGTGGAGGAGAATAAAGTACCCAGCGTGAGGGCATGAGGGACAAGTCCAAAAGAGTTCCTATGGTGGGAAACAAAGAGATGGCTAGTCTGGGTGTGGAGTTCATCGTTCTGCCCTCTAATCTCAGAGGGGCAGAGGAAACTGATGAGGTGTGGGATGATGAGGTTCCTGAGAGCATGATGCAGAAACCAAAGCAGAATGTCAGAGTAGGCCCTGAATATAGAGTAGATTGAGGAACTGGGAAGTGGGATTTCCAGGTGTGAGGGCACAGTGTGAGGAAAGACAAAGAGTTGAAGAATGACATGGCATGGTGTGGAGGCATTAAGTAGATCTGCCTAACTGGAGTGGAGGACTCACTTGGGGAGTAATGGGAAATGAAGTTTCTAAAGAGAGTGGATCCAAATTATGTTCTTGAATTTCAGGAAGAGAGTTTAGACTTGATGTTAGAGGCAAGAGGGTGCCTTTATAGGCTCTTAAAAAGGAAATGACATAATGGAAGTGTACAATAAGGAAGATTTCTGGCAACAGTATACAGGTTAACAACTATAGTGCCTCTTGCCCAAGATTGTTGTGAGGACCAAATAAGATAATGTATGTAAAGTACTTCCTAACATTTAAAGTGTCTTATAAATGTCAGCTATTATTATTATTAAAGTACTTTGTAAAACTTGAAATACTATGTAAATGTCAGATATTTTTACAAGAAATGACAGTTAAGTGGATGAGCTCACCGAGAGTATGAGAATAGAGAGGGAACAGAGAGGTAAGTAAAAGAAGAATCAGGAATATTCAGTATCTTGTAAGCTTAAGGTTCCTAAGAGGTGGTCTGGAGATCCCTGAGGATTCCTGAAACCCTTTTAGGGGATCTGTGAGGTCAAAACTATTTTTATAATAATATTAAGACATCTAATTTCTAATATAGTAAATATGGATAGGTATAATCCACATAAACAAAAAGTCTTTGGGAGAAGTTACTTAATAATTTTTAAGCGTGTAAAGGGATCATGAGATTAAAAAGTTCGAGAACCGCTGTTGTAAACAAAAGGCGGAACATTTTAGAAAGAGTGGGAAGAATATGTTTGAGTATTCTTAGTCTTACATTCTGGTGAACAGGTAATGAATACAAGCATGAGTCAAGGAAAAGGTACATCAATAAATGACTGGCAATGCTAATTTTGTGGGTCACAACAGAATTGCAGAGAGCCTAATGATTTTTGAAAATCACATGCAGATTGGACTAAGATGGTTCAGAAAGAGGTCATATAGGATAAGAAATTTTTTTTAAAAGAATGTATTATGGGAGAGTTTGAGCTAAATCCTTCTGGGAATATCCAGCTAGAAGAAAAAAGGTCTTAGCCACATAAAATTGTAAAAGAGAGTAGCCATTTTGATTCTGAGTGGCATACACAGGAACATCACGTAATTGGTGCTAAGGAAGTAGATGCCCCAATAACTCTGATAAATCTACAGGATGAATTGCGTATTTAATGTTAGGCCTTTTTATTCTAGGAATATATCCACATTTTGGAAACAATTCAGCAGCTAAACAAAATGATTAAGAGACAGTGAAGACTTATTTATAAGTCACTATAAAAAGAACTAAATACCTGCTCAGCATTATGAATGAGTTAGAAAGTTTAGGGAAAAGGTTTACAAATATTTGAGAGACAGGGAAAGGAAAGATTTTGTCAACTTTATCAGACTTAGTTCTCATTTCAGATATGTCTTGGGCTTTGAAAAACTTCTCTCATTATTAAGTCTTAAAACATTTAGAGACCATTTGAATGAAACAAAAGTGTAGGCTGTGATTGGTAGAATGCTGTCATCACATGGAAAGAGAATTGCTGCAGAGGATGGGATACAATACAAGGCCTAACCTCAAGACAAATCATGGTTTTGAATGGAAAGAAATATTCTAGAAGTACTTAATGTGCAATTTAAAGGGATAAAATGTATTAATATTCCAGCTGTTCAAAGATTAGGTCATCATGGAAAATAACAGGATAAAATTAAACTGTCTGAATTATAGTATAATTATGACGAGAACTTGAGTTCAAGAATTGTACTACAGAATCAGTTAGATGAGGTTGGGTAGAAATTTATGTTTCATAAGTATGGCTAGGAGGCTAGGACCTCAATTGCTCCAAATACATTCAACTGTTTCTTCTTATTATGAAGCAACTGAACGACTGAAACATATAGCACTTTGTGAATAGAAGGCACTTTAACATACACTACCAATTTTGAGCCCATGAAGCAGGCAGTGGAAAGTAACACCACCTTCATTTTACAGCTGAGGAAACTGAATTTCAGAGAGATTAAATGACTCTGTACAAGCCTGAATTTTCTCATCCAGTATCCACTGCTCTACCTCACAAATAAAATCAAGATTAACTAAGTACATCGGAGCCGGATCTGTTTCCAAGGAAAATATGCCTTAGAAATGTCCCTCCCTCAAAAAAAAAATTAAATGACTTATCTAGGCATACATACAGACACTAAAGTGTTGGAAAGGCATTGGTTTTTATCTGTAAATCACCTTCCTTTGGTCCTATATATTTTAGACTTTTCCTACGGTTTTTGTTTGTTTGTTTGTTTTCCAAGTGAGATCATAGCATTGTAGATTTAGAGCTGGATGGAAATTCAGACATCTGTTAGTCCAACTCCCTCATTTTACAGGTGAGGAAATTGAGGTCCATAAATGTTAAGTGACTTGCCTAAGGCCATACAGCTCATTCATGGTAAATCAGATAAATGCTAAAAAAATTCAGTTTTTCAATGATTCAAGCCATCTCATTAATCTGATAAAGTTATTGTTTCAATTCAAGAGGATAAACCTGTATTAGGTAACTGTGTTTTTGCACATTTCTTAAGTAACTACTATGTGACTAGCACATAGTAGACACTCAATGAATGCTTGTTGACTGATTCCAAAACACTGGGGGCTATCGGACAGAAAAAGAAAAAGGGGTGAAAAAGAATAAGATACAACCTCTTGTCTTCAAGGAGCTAGTACAGAGATATGACATATATTCAACTAAATTCATTACAAAATGGAATGTGGTAAATTCCTGATAAGAGAGGGAAATACAAAGTGTTATGTGAGGGCTGAGGAAGGAAAGAGAATTCCTGAGTAGGGATGTTAAAGGAAAGTTTCATGAAGAAGGTGGTATTTGATGGAAGGATGGGGAGAATTTCTTTCGAAAGATGGTTTTGGAGCAGGTTTTTAGGCTGACTACCTTAAGCAAGAATTAGGATATGTCACTATTTGGATTTTTAATGTATTTGGGCTTGAAGGTGAAGGTGAAAGTGTACCTTTCATGACTTTGCCTGGAAGCTGAAACATGAAATAAATGCATTCCTCACTGAAGTTGAAAAAAAAATGTTGAGTATCCATTCTTAAAGGAAAGGGAGAACACCCTTTTGCTCAGAAGACTCTCTCTCTCCTTTCAGGTATCCTACGTAAAAGCTATCGACATCTGGATGGCTGTGTGTCTCCTGTTTGTGTTTGCCGCCTTACTGGAATATGCAGCTGTTAACTTTGTTTCAAGGCAACACAAGGAGTTTCTGAGGCTCAGGAGAAGACAAAGGAGGCAAAATAAGGTACAGTAAGCAGTCAATGCAGGTAAAGTCAAGTGGAAAATTTCCAAATATGCAGATACGCCATCCATTCACTGCGAAGAAAAAACAATTCTCACTATTTCTAAACTGTTCTTGAGTTAAAGTTATAGTGACCCAGTTTCTTCACATTAGGTAAATCACTGCTGAACCATCCATTTCACTTTGTTTCTATAAGCATAATTTGGTTCCACTTAACTCCTTTTTGGTTGAATAGATGAATTCACTTATGGTTGGTGCTTTTTTTTTTAATCTATATAGTCATGTATGGGCTTTTAAACCCACAAGCTTTGCCATTATGTAGAAGTGGTCTGAGTATGGATTAGACTTGTCTCATGAATCAGCAATCTTTTATTCTGAAGATGGATGTAAAAATCTGTGCTGACTATATCACACATTCATAAACTTTACCCAGTTATTGGCCCATAAGTTTGGAATTTGTAGCTTGAACGTTCAAAGCTGACTCACACACAGCATGTCAAGTGGATTTAATTTATTCTTCATTTCCTAGACACATCTTAAGACAATCATGGCCCTTAGTATGGAATACATTTAGCAAAAGATTTGTGTCCCCTGGACAATAATCCATATAACATTGCTAGACAATTTTCTAATCAATTTGAAGAAGTATTGACAAATACAACCTCATAGGACTACAAACCCAAGTTGTATCTATACCCCTCATTGAATAGCTGAAGGACAACTAGAAATTTTCCATCAAAAATCTGGATGCTGTAAATATTTGGATTTTGGACTGAATTTTTAGTAAGATATGGTGGATATGGCCCAAGTTTATCTCTCATAATGTGAACATCAGCACATATATATATATATACACACACACACACACACACACACACATACATACATATACATATATATATATACATATATACATATATGTATACACACACCCCAAAAGTTTGAATTTGAGCCTATTGTATGCCTATCATTCAGTGATTTTTTTCAATTATGTCTGACTCTTCATGACCCCATTTGGGATTTTCTTGGCAAAGACACTAGAATGGTTCGCCATTTCCTTCTCCAGCTCATTTTACAAATGAAGAAACTGAGTCAAACAGGGTTAAGTGACTTGCCCAGTGTCACATAGCTAGTAATCACCTGAGGCCAGATTTGAACTCGGGAAGATGAGTCTTTCTAACTTCATAACTGGCACTTTATCTACTGTTACACCTAGCTACCCCTTTTATGCCTATGGGAATGACAAAACAGGATCCAGCAAGCCATTTTGGTTCTCTTTCTCATCTATTTGCTGGAATTCAGGTTAACCTATTGATCAAAGGTAAGTAGCTTTTTCTTCTTTAAGACCATAACTCTAGGTTCTAGCTTTTCTCTGCTTACTCTTCTTTTCTGAGGGTGTTCCCTCCCCCCCCTTTTAACTCACTATAAAAACTGTCCAAATAGAAGACTATCACATCACATGGACATTTCAAGATACAGAATTATACAATAAATCCAGAGTCATAACAAAGGTAATATAACTGTGACTCTTGCCTGAGGTACACAAAGCTGAGGAACCATAAAGAATATATAATTATATATTTACTAATCCAAGCATGATGTGCCATTAGGGGAAGAGGCACCATTTTATGTTCTTGCTTTAGACACAAAATTGGCTAGCAATAATTACAGACAGATTACATATGATGTGACTGTATAGGGAGCTCAATTACCAACTCAAAATTTAAAGAGACATATACAAAAGATGGAATCAAGACTGGCAACTAAGTATGAGTACAAAATAATGGTAGTAATCTGAGAGAATAATGATATAAATGCCAAAACCCTAAATGAACTTCAGCTTGTTTTAAATGCTAATTGTAACCAAAAAATCTACATGGTAGGCGAGAGGAAGATCAAAAGAGGAACAGAATCACTGTTGTGGGGGTAGTTGGAATAATGGACAACAGAGAGAAGCAAAAGATGCTCAATTTCTATTTTAAATACATTTTCTCTATCAAAGAGAATAATCTTCAAAACAGGAAAGGCTAAGACAAAATAGCTTAATAGAGAACTGAAATCCAAGTAAAGAAGTGCTAAAGCAGTTCTTAGTTCCCAGTGAATTCAAGTCACCCAGTCAAAGACAAAGACAAACCGTATCAAAAAGTGCTGAAATAATCTGTCAACGTGATTCCTGAACCACTGATAGTGAGTGACGTTTGAAAAAGTATGAACAATCAGAGAAGTACCACAGGACTATCCCTTTCCAAGAGGAAGGTTGATTATTGAAACTATAAGTTATTGGGCTTACCTCAACTGCTAGCAAAATTCTAGAACCATTACCCAAGGGATGGTTTGGGAGCAGAGAAACAAAAGCAGTCATCATCTACAGCAGTTTCATCAAGAACAAATGAAGCCAAATAACCTAATCTAATAACCATTTTTTTCAATATGGTCACTTGATTAGTAGATAAGAAATTGCATAAATATTATATGCTTGAATTTCAATAAGATATTTGACAAAGTCTCTGGTTATAGTTTTGTAGACAAAATGGAGAGGTGTGGGCTAAGAGATAATACAGATGGAGTCAGAAATATTTGGATGACCAGACCAAAAGATAGATCAAAGTCCACTTAGAAAGCTGTCTAACAGAATGTCGCAGGCCTCTATGTTTGGCCCTATTTGTTTCTAAATTACTTGGATGAAGGAATAAATAACATGCTTATCAAATATGTAGATGATGTGAATCTGAGATGGACAGCTATTATGTTAGATGACAAAACCGGAATTAAAAAAGATATTGATGGACTAGAGCAATAGGCCAAATCTAAGAAGATAGAATTTAATTAGACAAATGTAAAAAACCACATTTTGGAAATCTATTGTGCAAGAACAGGATGAAGGAGAAGGGCTAAGGGATTTAGACCTAAGGAATTTAGTAGACATCAAAACTCAGTATGAATCAACAATGTAATGGAGGCATTAAAAAAAAAATTCCAAGATTACATTGACAATGTAATGACCAGAACAAAGAAGTTTATATTCCTGCTGTCTTCTGTCCTACTTAATAAAATTTTAATTGATGACACTTCCAATATTTTAAGGTGTATAAAGCACTTTGCATACATTATATCATTGTTACAACAACCCTGTGAGGTAGGATCACAGATTTAGAGTTGGCTCCCCTCAGAGGTGATCTAATCCAATTCTTTTATTATACAGATGAGACAATTTAGGCCCTAAGAGAGTTATTTATAGTCACATAGCTAGCAAGTGACAGAACCAAGATTTGAATCTATATTTCTCTTTATTCCAGGTCCATTCCCTTCCTACTACACCACACTAACTCCACTGAATGGACCACATGTGTATTGTATTCATTTCCAGATGTAACATTTGGGGAGCGACAGTGATCAGCTTGAGCACATCCAGAAGGGTGACCAAAATGACAGGGAATCTTGAAACTATGCCAAATGAGGATCATTTGAATAATCTGGGAGTTGTTCAATCTGAAGAAGAGAAAACTTAGGTGGTGGGAGGAGGAGGGACTACCATCAAATATCTGACATGATATCTGTCATCTAGAAGAGGGATCAATGATTATAATGATAATATTAGTTAACATTTATATAGTGCTTTAAGGTTTGCAAAGTACTTTACAAATATCATCCCACTTTATCTTCACAACAACCTTGGCAGGTGGGAGTTATTATTATCTTGATTTTACATTTAAGGAAACTGAGGCAGCAGAGGTTAAATGATGTCCCCAGAGTCATAAAACTAGCAAGTGTATCAGGCAGGATTTGAACTCAGATCTTCCTGACTTCAACTCCAGCACTTCAGCCGATGCACCACCTAGCTGCCTTGTTTTGCTTATCCCCAGAAGACAGAAACAAGGGCACTGGAAGTTTCTGAAAAGCAGATCTTAGTAGAAGAAAAAGAAAAACTTCCTAACATGTAGGCCTATCCTATTTGCTACACTCTCAGTTCTGTGAATGGCGGGGACCACCATTTTGTATCTCCTCCTAGCACCTAGCTCTACACACCATATGGAACTTCATGACTGTTGGATGAATTGCAGTGAATCTCTGACTTCATAATTCCTACTCCAGCTAATTGGTACGTAAAGGACTGTGAAAATTCTGAATTATCTAAGTATCTTCTTGGCTGTGCAACCTCAGCCTTTCTGCCTAGATGCAGATCCATATCTCAAACTGCCTACAGGATCTTTCCGCCTTGAACTTATCAATCCCCAAATGAAGCCTATCTTATTAACATTCCAAATATTCTCTTCTTCCCTCTGACTTCACTAATTCTTATAGCAACGTTCTGTCAGTCTTCCCCATATTTGAAACCCTGGTGTTATCTTTGACTCTTTTCTCTCCATCTCCTCCAATAATCAGTCACAAACTTCCATCAATTACATCTTGAAAATCATTGTCTTCCATCACTTGTTGTTCAGTCATTTTTCCGTTGTGACTCTGTAATTTTTTTCCTTGACAAAGATGTCAGAGTGGTTTACCATTTTCTTCTCCAGCTCATTTTACAAATGAGGAAACTTAGGTAAATAGGGCTTGCCTAGGATCACACAGCTAGTGAGCATCTCAGGACAGATTTGAACTGAGGAAAATGAGTCCTCCTGACTCCAGGCCTGGCACTCTATGCACTGTGGCGCCACCTAGCTGCCCTGTCATCTATCACTGCCATATCCCTATTCCCATTACCATCCCAGCACCCTATTACAAGCTGTCATTATACTCACCAAGACTACTGAAATAATCTATAGTAGATCATAGGATCATAGAGCTAGAAGGAACCTTAGAAACCATCTAGTCCAACCCCTTCAGATTTTACAGCTGAGGAAACTGAGGCAGCAAAGGTTAACTCCCTTTTCCAAGATGAAATAAATATCAATGAGCAAAAGTAAGATTTCAGCCAAGGTCCTTTCTTTCCAAATCTAGTTTTCTTTCTACTTTATCAGGTTCCCTCCTTGTCTATTCTCCTCTGCTACCCCTTTTCTTGA